GCTGATGTTGATGGTGGTTTTGAAATGAATTTTCGACAAATAGATTTTGCGTTGGTCAGTGAATCGTTGTGTTTAAAGTAGCGTTTGTGTGTGGTGTTCGAGCGATTTTGCATTCTCGGAAAGACTTGGTAGTAGAGAAATACATACATGTATGACATGCGAATTTTCAGTGTGCGTGTGCGCTATGCTCTTTCCTTTCTGCATATATATATATATATAAATAGTGTGTGTGTGAGAGAGAGAGAAACGGATTCGTTTGATTTTGTGCAAATGTGATTCAGTGATGTGGGCTAATGTTGGTTTGTTATTTGTGTGTGATGACTTGCCGTGGAGCTGTTCATCGCATTTATAATATGTGCTGAACAGTTGTTTGCGGCTGAAAGATAATTTGTCGTGTCGCACATGCAGGTTCTTTATTTCTAAACCCTGTCATCACAACCGACATACATGAAGCTGTGTCCTGATTGAGAATAGTCTTGTCCGATATGTTCGTTTCATTTTATCTAACAAAAGTGTGTATGTACATAGACAGTTGTATACACATATAGAGTAGATTTTGTATGTTGATGCTTTATATGAGTGTGTATTTGTATTGTTTGGTCTGTGTCGATTGGTTATGGCGAGTAGCCGTTCAGCTGCCCCGTGCATAATTGATTCACTGTGGGTCGTTTCCTGCGGCTGAGATTGAATGGATGCACTGCTATGCCTCTTGTCCATTTCAGGGACTCGTTGGGTACGATGTGCAGGCCACATGGGATGTTGATTTGTTAAGGTGTTTATGTCGTTCTTAGTAGTGTATTCGTATGTTTGTTTGTGATTTATTTTTCTGTGTCTGTAGTCAGTTATATAGCTACTATACTGCATTGTGCACGTTCGTGAATGATGTCGTTAGAGTAGCTGATATTTATGCAATGCATTTGATGCGTGTGCGACAAAATGTTATTAGTGTGTTGTCTGTTTAATGAAACACTAGTGGTCAGTATGACAGCAGGTTTCATTGTCTACTGTGTTGGTCATGCTACGCCATGTGAGTGTGCGAACTGAGAGAAGCAGAGTTTCCTTTTACCGTACTATGAAGACAGAATGAATCGATGTACGTTGTGTGTGTGTGTGTGTGTGTTTGTTTCTGAGTAATTTAACTTTGTTCAGGAAGATATTAATTTGTTTTGAGTTTCTGTCTTTTTATGAATATATGCATATGATGAAAGTGTCTTGTCAATGAGTTGTTTTGAATGATTGTTCACTTGTTGTGTAATTATGTGTACGTAGATCTTTGAGTATAGTATGTTGAATAGCCGTTCAGCTACTCCGTGTATATGGGATTCACGACGAGTCGTTTCCTGCGGCTGAGATTGAACGGATGCATTGCTATGCCTCTTGTCCATTCCAGGGACTTGTTTGGTACGAATGCAGACGACATGTCACTTTAGTTATTTGTCTTGTGTGTAACAGATATGACTTTTTGGGTTAGTCTTGTATGTGTTGAGCGCTGATGTTGATGGTGGTTTTGAAATGAATTTTCGACAAATAGATTTTGCGTTGGTCAGTGAATCGTTGTGTTTAAAGTAGCGTTTGTGTGTGGTGTTCGAGCGATTTTGCATTCTCGGAAAGACTTGGTAGTAGAGAAATACATACATGTATGACATGCGAATTTTCAGTGTGCGTGTGCGCTATGCTCTTTCCTTTCTGCATATATATATATATAAATAGTGTGTGTGTGAGAGAGAGAGAGAAACGGATTCGTTTGATTTTGTGCAAATGTGATTCAGTGATGTGGGCTAATGTTGGTTTGTTATTTGTGTGTGATGACTTGCCGTGGAGCTGTTCATCGCATTTATAATATGTGCTGAACAGTTGTTTGCGGCTGAAAGATAATTTGTCGTGTCGCACATGCAGGTTCTTTATTTCTAAACCCTGTCATCACAACCGACATACATGAAGCTGTGTCCTGATTGAGAATAGTCTTGTCCGATATGTTCGTTTCATTTTATCTAACAAAAGTGTGTATGTACATAGACAGTTGTATACACATATAGAGTAGATTTTGTATGTTGATGCTTTATATGAGTGTGTATTTGTATTGTTTGGTCTGTGTCGATTGGTTATGGCGAGTAGCCGTTCAGCTGCCCCGTGCATAATTGATTCACTGTGGGTCGTTTCCTGCGGCTGAGATTGAATGGATGCACTGCTATGCCTCTTGTCCATTTCAGGGACTCGTTGGGTACGATGTGCAGGCCACATGGGATGTTGATTTGTTAAGGTGTTTATGTCGTTCTTAGTAGTGTATTCGTATGTTTGTTTGTGATTTATTTTTCTGTGTCTGTAGTCAGTTATATAGCTACTATACTGCATTGTGCACGTTCGTGAATGATGTCGTTAGAGTAGCTGATATTTATGCAATGCATTTGATGCGTGTGCGACAAAATGTTATTAGTGTGTTGTCTGTTTAATGAAACACTAGTGGTCAGTATGACAGCAGGTTTCATTGTCTACTGTGTTGGTCATGCTACGCCATGTGAGTGTGCGAACTGAGAGAAGCAGAGTTTCCTTTTACCGTACTATGAAGACAGAATGAATCGATGTACGTTGTGTGTGTGTGTGTGTGTTTGTTTCTGAGTAATTTAACTTTGTTCAGGAAGATATTAATTTGTTTTGAGTTTCTGTCTTTTTATGAATATATGCATATGATGAAAGTGTCTTGTCAATGAGTTGTTTTGAATGATTGTTCACTTGTTGTGTAATTATGTGTACGTAGATCTTTGAGTATAGTATGTTGAATAGCCGTTCAGCTACTCCGTGTATATGGGATTCACGACGAGTCGTTTCCTGCGGCTGAGATTGAACGGATGCATTGCTATGCCTCTTGTCCATTCCAGGGACTTGTTTGGTACGAATGCAGACGACATGTCACTTTAGTTATTTGTCTTGTGTGTAACAGATATGACTTTTTGGGTTAGTCTTGTATGTGTTGAGCGCTGATGTTGATGGTGGTTTTGAAATGAATTTTCGACAAATAGATTTTGCGTTGGTCAGTGAATCGTTGTGTTTAAAGTAGCGTTTGTGTGTGGTGTTCGAGCGATTTTGCATTCTCGGAAAGACTTGGTAGTAGAGAAATACATACATGTATGACATGCGAATTTTCAGTGTGCGTGTGCGCTATGCTCTTTCCTTTCTGCATATATATATATATATAAATAGTGTGTGTGTGAGAGAGAGAGAAACGGATTCGTTTGATTTTGTGCAAATGTGATTCAGTGATGTGGGCTAATGTTGGTTTGTTATTTGTGTGTGATGACTTGCCGTGGAGCTGTTCATCGCATTTATAATATGTGCTGAACAGTTGTTTGCGGCTGAAAGATAATTTGTCGTGTCGCACATGCAGGTTCTTTATTTCTAAACCCTGTCATCACAACCGACATACATGAAGCTGTGTCCTGATTGAGAATAGTCTTGTCCGATATGTTCGTTTCATTTTATCTAACAAAAGTGTGTATGTACATAGACAGTTGTATACACATATAGAGTAGATTTTGTATGTTGATGCTTTATATGAGTGTGTATTTGTATTGTTTGGTCTGTGTCGATTGGTTATGGCGAGTAGCCGTTCAGCTGCCCCGTGCATAATTGATTCACTGTGGGTCGTTTCCTGCGGCTGAGATTGAATGGATGCACTGCTATGCCTCTTGTCCATTTCAGGGACTCGTTGGGTACGATGTGCAGGCCACATGGGATGTTGATTTGTTAAGGTGTTTATGTCGTTCTTAGTAGTGTATTCGTATGTTTGTTTGTGATTTATTTTTCTGTGTCTGTAGTCAGTTATATAGCTACTATACTGCATTGTGCACGTTCGTGAATGATGTCGTTAGAGTAGCTGATATTTATGCAATGCATTTGATGCGTGTGCGACAAAATGTTATTAGTGTGTTGTCTGTTTAATGAAACACTAGTGGTCAGTATGACAGCAGGTTTCATTGTCTACTGTGTTGGTCATGCTACGCCATGTGAGTGTGCGAACTGAGAGAAGCAGAGTTTCCTTTTACCGTACTATGAAGACAGAATGAATCGATGTACGTTGTGTGTGTGTGTGTGTGTGTGTTTGTTTCTGAGTAATTGAACTTTGTTCAGGAAGATATTAATTTGTTTTGAGTTTCTGTCTTTTTATGAATATATGCATATGATGAAAGTGTCTTGTCAATGAGTTGTTTTGAATGATTGTTCACTTGTTGTGTAATTATGTGTACGTAGATCTTTGAGTATAGTATGTTGAATAGCCGTTCAGCTACTCCGTGTATATGGGATTCACGACGAGTCGTTTCCTGCGGCTGAGATTGAACGGATGCATTGCTATGCCTCTTGTCCATTCCAGGGACTTGTTTGGTACGAATGCAGACGACATGTCACTTTAGTTATTTGTCTTGTGTGTAACAGATATGACTTTTTGGGTTAGTCTTGTATGTGTTGAGCGCTGATGTTGATGGTGGTTTTGAAATGAATTTTCGACAAATAGATTTTGCGTTGGTCAGTGAATCGTTGTGTTTAAAGTAGCGTTTGTGTGTGGTGTTCGAGCGATTTTGCATTCTCGGAAAGACTTGGTAGTAGAGAAATACATACATGTATTTCAGGCAAGCTCTTTGTATGCATGTGGGGTATGCGATTCAGTGTGGTTTTTTTTGTATTGTATGGATTTTTTTTATTCACTTGGTTGATATACATCCGTTTAGTTTGTTTTTGTTGTGTATTTGATTGTTTTGTAATATTCTTTGCTTTTTTTGGGCTATTAAGTGTTTGTCATTCGTTTACTTTATTATAATTATTTATGTAGGTTTCTTGAATTACTTATCTTTTATTTTAATGACTTCTTAGTATATTTTGTTCTTAACTTTACACTCCGTGTGTATCTCGTCCATTCAATATGCATAAATTAACGTTTTCGCTTTCGTATGAACGTTTTGTTTTCATGTGTAGCTTGCGTTGTATTATTTTTTTTCATTTTTCTTCAGGTTACCCAGCCGTATGGCCATGAGTATATTAACTCCGACTACTAGCACTCAGGTCTCTGTGAGCAACAAGGTTAGTGTAATTAAATTCTGTTGTAATCCTTTTTATGCTTTACACTTCTAAGTGTTAATTCTGTTTTTCTAATTAAGATGATAGGTGCGATCATGGGTAGATCCGGTTGTCGCATAAATCAAGTTCGTCATGAGTCAAATGCAGATATTAAAATCAGTAAACAGGAACCCGGTGTTGAAGATCGTATTATTACAATAACTGGAACTCCTGAACAAATTCAAAACGCTCAATTTCTTCTTCAAATGTGGTACGTTGAATATAAATAAATAAATTATTCGAAGCGATATTTTCCTTTTTCTGTGCAACATTGAGTTTAACCTGTTCTGTTAACAGTATTATATCTTTTTTTACTGTTCAAAACTGAAATGTACCAGATCACATGATTATAAATATGTTCGTGAATCTGAATTCGGTTCCCTAGGCTTTCAACAGTTCATTGATGTCGTTGGGATAGTAAGTGCCTTAACCAACCTAGAAGTGGAATAAAACATTGGAGATTGGTGTTTTCAATCTCTTTACTTTAATTATATATTGGTTAATATAAATGAGAAGTTCAAACTAACTGGCGAAATCCAGCTTTATAATGACATTCCAACTTTAGTGCCTCACTAACAACCATAGTTTGCTTAAATCTTCTTATGAATTCTCTTAAATCTACCACTGAAATACTTATTGCTGATTTCCTAGCTGCTTCCTGTAACTCCAGACTACTTTTACACTTCAAACTCGGGACTATAATTTGTAAACGAACCAAGCAGATATAAGATGACAGATCTTGGATTTTGGCGCGAAATTCATTCATCTATTCGGTTAAATAGCGTTTTGACATTTTAGCTGATGTCGAATGTAAATCATAATTCCAAATCCTCACACTGGTTTATGATCCTGATTTGGTCATAGTTAGTAGGCAAACATTCGCAAGATCAATTTAGCGTCTCTCAAATGTCGTCCATAAATTATAGTCTCACCATTGAGTGTGTTACTTTCATATGGCCTTGGTCTTTTGGAAACAAACCGAATAATAATGACAGGAAATTATCCAATCAAAACGTGGCACATGATCCTTCAATTTTTTGAATATCTCTCCCGACCGAACCTGCTACCTTGACGCGGTGGTCGGGCTTGCCTATTGTTATGACCCAACCGAGCTATACTGGCTGGTTCTACCATGCCAGGCAGGTCGATTGGAGAACGGTAAAACTAAAGGTCTGAGGGCGAAGTCGTACTGCTGACTGTACAGACGTGTGATAGCAGTAAGGTGTTTCCCTCAGACAACCAGCATCTGCAGCGATGCTACCTTCCCACAAGGAGGGGTGGGGTTAGAAAAGGTCGACCCTAAAAATATCACACCTCACCTTACCTCATGCATTTCCGTCTCCGGCGGTAAGGCTCTTTGAAGAACGGAGCTAACTTATTAAAAACCTTCCACGAAAAGGCCGTGCGCGACCGGCCTCAAGCAGTTGTCCGTTGGGCTCTGCGGTCACGCCCCCAGGTCTTTAAGACCACCTCTAATCCAATTTCCTTTTCAGGTTCCTCAAGAAATACTCTTCCACGGTCTGGGCAGCCGGGAAGTGACACCAGCCCTCATATCCGTAACGGCACACAAGATCAAGTTGGTCACGTACAATCCTTCCTATACCTCTCTTATCTCCATGACTAACCCTCCTCACGTCTCTTTATCACCTCGCACCGCTAGGGCAAACGATTCGAGCACGCGGAACGTTATTCCTGGTCTCCTGAAACCACGCTCTAAACTACACGTAGGAGCTTTTAACGTCCGAACACTGCCAAATAGGACAGCAGACTTCCTTAGCTAAGACTTTAGGATCCCGCGCCATCGATGTGTGCTGCGTCTCCGAAACGCGCATACAGGATTCGAGTAGCGTCATTTACTTGACCTCACCATGCCAAATTAAAGAGCCGACTCGATTCACACTTCATGTATATGGAAGCTTTGATTCTGCTTCCCGTGTCCTCGCCGGCGTACGTATGGCATTGAGTCCTAGGGCAGAACTAGCCCTCTTAGAGTGGAAGGCATTAGACAGTCGTTTGTGCGCTGTCTGACTGAATGGAACAGTAAGGATTCGAAAAGATAAGGACACTCGTCGTTGCCTCTTCGTCGTCTCTGCCTACTCTCCCACTGACTGCAGCGCAGATGATGTAAAAGATGAGTTTTACAGAAAGCTCTCCGACCGTCTCCGAAAAGCTAGGCGCTCGGATGTAGTAATAATGGCCGGTGACTTTAATGCTCAAGTAGGTAAACTAAGCGATAGGGAAAGACACCTGGGTGGATCTTATAGCATCGTGGCTCAAAGAACAGATAATGGCGACCGTCTGTTGTGGTTAGTCCAATTCGAATATTTTTTTAATTTCGAACAGTATTAATAATAGAATTCGCTCATATGAACACCTCCCTTCTGTAATGCAGTATTCAACGCACAAATCTGGCTGTGCGTCCGAATCAATAATTTAGATACCGAACGATTTGCTTCAAATTTTCGTGACTATATCAACTGTTTATTTAGTTGATACTGAAGAGACAGGAACTTCGGTCGAAATTCGGCATTGCTTATGAATGATCAAGGTTTAATCCCTTTTAGTGAAATGGTGTTAGAAATAAAGTTTCCACATCATAAATGCAAGTTCAATAATATTTGAATGTCTGCCGTGTCCATCAATTGATGCGACAAGGAAATTTCTCATACATTTAGTTAAGTAATAAAGAATAAAGTGGTTGGTAATATATCCTGCCGGTGTATATCTCAAACTATCGCTTCGACACCATAGACGGTATAGACCGCCTTAAGTCAATGAAACTTCCAGTGTATAGATCAAGCAGTTGATACTTTCAACGATTTTACACTTTAATGTTAGGTTAGATAGATGCATGTCGATACGTATCCCCTGTTGCATCATTTGGGAGATGTGGAAGATACTCATGTATTGTCAAGTTTATGCTCGTGATATGCACATTTATCACTCTGCTTCTTTGAGAACTGTGAGTCATTAGTTCAGGTACTTTGTTTTGAACCGCGCCATGTTTGGGGCATTGAACCTATAATTCTTATGTGAGGTTCTTCATCGAAGTTTGACAACCAATAGTGTATTAGTTATGTACCGATGACGATCTTTTAGTATTCATCGTGGATGTTTTTCCACATTTACTAAATAAATTTATAATTGCTTTAGTGACTCATTATTTGATCTTTTTGTTTTCAGCGTTAAACGATATGGTGATCAAATCTGATTCCTCACTATCATCCTTGTTTTCTTTTTCCCCAACTCCGTCTCTTGCGGAACTAAATGAAAACCCACATCCTCACTAATTTTATTATTCTTGAATGCTTTATCCAATTATTTCAATTACACAGATATGTTCTATGCAGTTAACTTGTTAATGTTTTGTGTTTTTGTAAAAATTGAAAACACTCGTTGTTTCATTCTTTACGAATAAAAGTCACTAGTTAATATGAACGTCACTGGAAATAATATGGGTCTTTCTTTCATTCATTTTAAAATGTGTTATCATAATTCTTATCGATTTCTCTTCAGAAATTAAAGTAGCGTTTAGCGCTTCAGATAAAACGTTATTCTTTTACTGAAGTTTATAATTATCAGCAAATCTAATAAACGATGTGATATGTATTAATAATTAAGTGAATACTTATAGGACTTACTTCCATAGTTCATAAGAGAGAAACTAGATTTGTAGTAACAGTTTAGTCAGCCTAGGGGTGTGATCTGAGAATCAGAGGAATAACTCCTTAAGACAAACCAATCATGACCATTATGTGTGCGGTCATTTCTGCAATAATGACTTCCTACTTTATATATCTTACTTCCAGGACTGAAAGTCCATGTAGTATTTCAACGACTGAAACTTTAAGCTATTGTGTGGCTGTGCAAAGATAGGATGACTGAAGATCCGTTAAAGGTAAACACGCGTCACCACTACCTAAAAATAACAAAGCTTACATAGTTTCTAGTGTTCGTGCTTTATTGTTACTGAACATCGGAGCTTAACAGTGCACAAATGACTGCTAGTGGAGATTGATTGGATGCTGTAGCGATCGCTCCAACAACAGTAAAACAAACATTTATGTATCCTGAAAATCCTCTTCAGTTGACCGTCTTGTAATATCGAAATACCTATTATCCAATCAGCGCTAGTCGATACTTGGAGAACAATCTATGGATCTTCTCATGTAGAAACTATAAATATACTAACGTTTTTCCTATTGTGCTTCTTACTTCCGTTTAACCTTGTTATTTGGAATATAATCTCTTTCCTGTTCAACCGTGTTCTGATCTGGGGACCTGTCGAGTGAATTAGTGTCTGAGAAGACTAAGCAATGGGAATAGCCGGGTTATAACCGTAAGAATGAATTATAACACCTATGTTAAGGTTGTGTAGGGAAGAGCTTGCATTAATTTCTGACTAAGTAATTCCCTGAGCTGACTCGATTGTATGGATGAAATAAAACCAATCTTCAATCAAGGACTCAGCATAAGCTACAATATAACATCCTGATTGAATGACTTATTTAGCCCTTTTCGTGATAAACTGCTCGTAATCATAATTATTAGCAAAATAAAACATTTGTTCTTATACAAAATAGACATGATAAGAGATTATTTTGTACTATAAAGCCAAGAGAAAACCGAAAGTTTTTATGTTATTGATTGATTTGTTACTTTTAAATCACCGTACGTGATTAAAGTTCTTCCTCTTACATCAAATTTGGATCGACAGTTGAAATGATATAAATTTTTGTTTCTGCCAAGACTAATTCTTAGCCTACGACTTTTAACAGCTACCTAAACATAATCCGCCTTGATTAGAGCTATTACGATTTTAAGAGGTAATCTCAATGAATGTAACTTAATGCAATGAGAAGCTTATCAGATCTATACGATATGTTAGAGCAATACATTTCGAACAATTGCACAGTTCTGATAAATCCCGTCTTATCGTTGTATTTTTTTATTTATCAAAGGGACTAACTTTTAACTAACAAATCTAGTTAGTTTCGGATGGGTTACAGTCGATTTGCTGAACACTGAATCCATACCATATCTCCTTACAAAAACAAATATATTTCCGTGTTACTAAGGAAATTATCTATAGTTATCACTACGAATACATGTTATCTATTGTGTTTACTCACTCCGGTCTACACGTATTTCATATTCACTAAGTTTAAGGTGTTTCTCCAGTAACGCTTATTTTAAAAAGGAGATTAAGTAATCGAATTTTTTGGTCATTAACGATATCTCAATACAAAGTCGTTTCGCACTTGCCACCTGTGACCTTGTTGCGACGTTCGACTTTTACAAAGAGTGAGCTTACCATGATATATCCAACTGTCTTGCTTCGTCAAATACTACAAGTAAACGTGCGAAGTATACAACGTTTTTAAGGCTGAGTGCAAACTTCTACTCGAGGTGCGCTACATGACAAGCTGGTGTTTGGTGAGTTCAGCTTGGTCCTTAGAATAGCTGCGCAATATACGAAAATAAATGTGCTAGTGTGTTGATTGTGTGGTGCGATCATCTTCCTAAACGTCTTTTCAGTACTATATATAAAGAGATGGGAAAGTAAACTACAAACTAGGCTTTCTATCTACTTGATTGAAACATTTGTCTTATGTAGTAGATTAATACCGATAATTCAGTTCCGCTTTCATAGAGCTTACGAAATAGCACCCTTAATATTTTATAACCTCTTTTCCAACATTGTGTCCCGAATCGAGCTTGTAGAACAGACAAGCGGTGGTGAGATCAGTTATGACATGACATGTAAAACTGAGGATTCGAAAGCTATGAACCCTTTCGACATAACTTTGTCTAACGGTGTTTACATGGGTTTTGTTTCTTCCCATTTTGTTTCATTATACACACTAATACTGCCGGAAATCTTGCTTCTACATAGTTGCACTTCATTACAAAATCCGAGTCAAGTATTTTGAAATCGATATTTAAGCTCTCGATCTTCAAGACTCATGCTTTACGAGTATGGGTTCATGGTGGGACTGTGGAATCAGCATCGTAACGCCGGTAAACTATTGTGCATTGTCAATTATAATCTAAAAATTATCGTATTTCTCAGGGTTGGCTCCTATTTCTTAGAATTCGTGTTCAGGGCCCCCAAATGCTCTGGTACTGCCAGGAGTGGGGAGAGTCATCTCTCCCTCCAGAAATGCTCACACATGGCCACGCGTGTACAGCCACTTCCAGAGAAGTCCTATTCACTGCATTCTCACAGTAGGGGTGTTTTCACGAAATCGAGAGGACGAGAAGCGAATATCCGGCGCTCTAACCGGCTTGGTAAACACGGGGGGTTCACTTAGGGGAGTTGAAAAACGCTAACCAATGGTGTATATGAGCTCCAGGATCCTGAAGGAACAACTGGCATATAAACGAATCGTTGGTCACCGGCTCTCATGGGACTGCATCTCATTACGTTGCTCCACTGCCTTGTGAAACAGACCTTTAGGTCGAAGGCTCGGGGTGTGGCGCCTTAGGAAACCACTTGCTTCGGTCTGGGCAACCGGGCAGTATCTTAGCCCACACACAAAACAAGTGACTTGTGTGGCGCATATGTATTCGGTGCCCCTTTATACCAATATTTATGTGTTCAGATAAATTCTGTGTTCGGGAACTGACTTTTGGAGAGGGGCTTTTGTGAGATAAATGTATTTAGATTTCCGTAGAAAATATCTTGTGTTGTGACATCGTCCTACTATGGCATGACATGCGAGCCCTCAATTATTTGGCGCCTAATGTTCGTTTGTATGTGGTTCGCCGCATTCAGGTCTTGAATCAGTTGATAATCTAAGTGCTTGTTTATAGACCTAGATGAGTGAAGTCGTCTTCGTAAGTTCGGTTATAATTGTCGGATTTACAGCAGTTCTACTTCATACTTACGGAGTTCATCCCTTTCAAGCTGATAATGCTTGACAATTGTATGCTCGGTCATTATCTCCTTCGTGGCATCAGTCATATGCGTTTGTTTAGACATAAAAAGGCTTCTATAGTACGTGCTGCTTGCTGAAGTCATTCGGAGGGCCAGTAAATTTCAAGAATGGACAACCACATGTTTTTGAATGGAACTTTTCATCAGTTCATCTGGTTAAGCTCTTGTAAAATCGAACCCAGAATATTAGTAAACAGCACTTACCATGAATATAGTAGGTCCCATTCATATGAAAACGTTTACTGCCGAACTTTCAGAATGCCAAACACCTGCTTAACATCAACTTATGAAACGAAAAGAAAGCTGAGTATCGCAAAAAATAAGTATCATTGTTTATTTTAAAAATTTTGATCATATGTACAAAAAACAGTTTATACTGTAATCACAATTGTTAAAGCAGATACAATTAGGGCAGATTTTTAGTTATGTCCATTTGTTCCTGAATTAACGGTTGTTATTGCTGGAAATTCACAAGGTGGAATTATTTTTTCTAATATTCGCATACTCAGTTCACCAGTATCTGGATTAATAAGTTGAAGATTGCCCATATGACTTTGTAAAATACGTTCAATTGTACTATTTGATAATTGAGCCATTTGTAAAATATTTGACATATGTGATTTAGAACGATAATGTTTACATAAATGCCCACTAACACGAAAACCTACATGACACATATTACATTTATAAGGGCGTGGATCCTTTAAATAGGCGTGAGATTTAACTCCATGACTTTGTCGTGCATCAGATTCTGGTTTATTTGAAGTATATAATGATTTTACATTGTTCTGTTTCATATCCTTATTTAATTTTTCTGATGTAGAAGAATCTTCTGTACAAGTTGTACAACTACTGCTACTAGAAGGAAGCGAACATGATTTATCATTTCGACCATTTTCTTGATAACATGGAGTTGAAGTGGATAATCCTTTAGAGTAATATTGCTCTTCTAAATCTGATGTATTGAAATTTATCACTTGAGCATCGATTGGTTTTACATGATCAGATAAATTTCCTGGAGTGGGTATTCTTTCAGAATTTTCTAATAATAGTAAAAAGAATAATAATAGACTATTAGAAGGATAGAACACTAGGAAAATGCTCTTTATAACAAATATTACAATTTATAATTTACAAAATGAGAACTTCTTATAAATTGTTTGTAGGTACATGCATATCAATATAAAATTGAGAACTATTAGACAGAATTATTTTACTTCCATAAATGTTATGTATGTAGTATAAATTTTGTATAATTTACTAATAGCATGCTGAACAGATTTAGAACTGGTTACAATAATAATAATTAATTAAGTCGATTATTACATAATATTTAAGAACAGTGTAGTAAACTTGAAATCAACATCGCTTAACATTAAAAATGTCAGAGATGTAAAACAGTTCAATGGACAAGTCTCAGGTTCGAACTCAACATTATCCACTTCGATAAGTATCACTAAACTTAATTTTTAAAAAGTATGATTAACATGTACTTGTTAAATGAGTTACCAACAATTCGGATAGCAAAGAACAACTATAAATTATTTAAAATTATTAACAGATATGTTCTCATTTATAATTGATACTATTGTCTGAATTCTACTAGTTTAACAGCGATCTAATATGAACGATAAACTTATTACCTTCAGAATGTATTTCAGATCAGTTACTTAAGTCAGTCCCTTCAGTGGATTTTTAAAAAAATTTATAATTAATTCATTTTCTGGGTAGACATCTTACATAGTGTTTGAAAATCTGCAAATAGGGTAATGCCTTTAAATTTTGCAACACATTTATTGTTAGTGTAGCCTGAGTACTCTCAACTGTCACATTTATTGAGATTCCGTTCCACCTATTTCGGCTTAGATAATTAAATAGTATACCTAGACGTCACATAACAAACTAATTTAGTTCATATATCACAGGACGAGGTTAAATCCAGTTACAAAATTACATTCCATAGCATTTTATCATTCCTCTTAGTCTTTCAAAGGATACTCGCCAGTGACTAATACAAGCTTAGGATGAAAGTGTATAAATTAACTTTAAGAATTAATCATATGTATGTTCTGAGTATGTTCGTACAAAGGAAAATGTCTTATGAATTTAAGAGGTCAAAAATGGAATACTCACTTGAATCTGGTGTAGAATGACTAAATTTATCTGTTTGTTTTAAAGTTGGTTTATCTGTAGCAAGATTACGAGCCGCTTCAACAGCTGTTTGAACAATTACTTCAGCTGATGACAAACAATTATTTGAAACGTGTTTATCACATATATTTTCTGAATGATTAAGATGATTCGACTGAATTCCATTCATTTTGGTATAAACTGATGGCTCAACAATATATTTTATTAGAGCAATTGGTTCTTGTGGTTTAGCACTTAAATTCATTGGTAAATCCTAAATAGTTAACGAAGAATAAAAGGAATTTGTAAAAAAAAGTATTACACCAGATTCAAACCAAAGTTGGCGAATGAAGCAAATAGAGAAAATATTTTTTATTTGAAAATACACCAACAAGAAGGGATTTAATTAATATTAAGTCACCGAACAATCCTATATATATATATATATATATAATATTTTTCTAGAGAAGGCGATGCTTGAGTCGGCTTACATACGTGAAAAAACGTGTGAGCATAAACTGCAAAAACAGTATTTTCATTGAATAAAGTGGTGAGAATATAATTTATGGACGCCATTTGAACGACGTTAAAGTGATATTGAGACGACCCATCCACTTAGTAGGGTAGAAAAAGGTTATAAATTAATATGATTCAGGATTATGATGTAGAGTTAAAAGTTAGGTTAGGAATTAGATTTAAGGTTTTCAGTACGAATTAACATCAGCCATAGTGCCAAAATACTATTTAACTATGTAGACAAATGAATTCCGCGCCAATGTTCAAGATATGCCAACCTTAATTTCCCTGGTTTGTCCATAAATCGCAGTCCAGCCAATAAAGTTAAGATATTTCTGCATCAATTATAAGAAAAATTAAAATAAATTTTTGTTTTGTATACCTACTTAAGCATAAAAAATGACTTCATCAGCAAGGCGTACCAGCAATCTTGATGAGTTCAACTGACATGAAACCCAAGCCCAAGGTTTCCTGAGGATTACCTTCAACTACATAAAATTTAGGCAAACTATTGCACTTTCAAGGTTACAAAGGGCTTTAACCGATAAAATTAGTCAAGACTTTTTCATCTTTGTTCACTTTGTTGATTATCTGTTCACAAGAATTAACCTAGGTAGGAAGTGAAAAATATGCCACAGCATTTACTTCCGAGCTGTTGGTATAGACCAGTTCTAGGATTTTAATCAAAATCTTCAGAAAACCGTATATTTTGTCAACACCTTGTAACATGACTATAGTGTTCATGTCCATTATGTGAGCAAGATAATTAGCTCATGTCAGTTGTGAATAAGCAAAACATTTTTCTATATATTTAAGTTTGTTGCCTTCACAAAACAAATGGCGAACAGAGTCTACTGGTGAAAATAATTATTATCAATTTAATAGACAAAAAATAATATAATATTTACCTGAATAGCTTGTTGTTTAACTCACTATCTGTACTTATATATCGATATTTTTCATGGTCTTACTTAGAAAATCGTATATTAGACTAACTTTACAAACAATACTCATTGGGAAAAACAGATTGTTGCAATTTAGCACTCTGATAAACAATATTCAGTAGCTTTTTTTAGGACATGAGTGGTAAAATGTAAGTTTCAGTGCATACATCAACTGTCAAATTTTAAACAGAACGAAATGTATATATGAGTTTTGAATGTTAGTTATTACTAAAAATAACACTACCAAACATTAAGCAGTATTATATCCCAAAAAATTACTTAATTCATGTCAAGTATATTACATATTAGATTATTTGATTAATCCAATTTTTAACAAGAAATCATGGTGAAGTTTGAACAAAATGTATAATTTTCATCTGTTGTGCAATAATGAGAGTTTTATAAAAGTTTTTTTAATGTAAAATCTGTAGAATAAATAAACACGACGAAAATAATTTATCCTTTTATTAAAATAATAATAAATCACCTGTGATAAATTAACTGCATTAACATTAGGAGCTGGAATACGATTAGATGAATCCACTACATTTGAGCATGTGATATTCGACTGTAAAGTTGAAGCTTTAGACGACATAATTCCTGGTAATGATGATGATGATGATATTGATGTCGGTGTTGTTGTTGCTGATGTTGATGACAATGATTTAGAAGTAATTCCATGAAAATTAGTACACAATGAAGATTTGACTTGGTTCCTTTTGCTACCAAAAGGGAATGAACGATTGTTGACTGCTCCTGAAAAGTTTCTTCTTTTACACGATGAGGACAATGACGATGATGATGCCGAAGAGATATTTGATGATTTACGATAATTCTGATGGTCTTCAAATATACTGTTATTTTTATTAATCTCTGAGTCACGAGGCACTTCTCTAGAATGATGATCGAAATCTCGATTAACGACAGGAGTAACAGAACTATTACTCGTTAAAGGAACTTGGGTGAATCCTGAGTCTCGTAAAAACCTGAGGAAAACAGTTAAAAATAGTAAAAACATTAAACATGATGTTGAGCATTGAATTAATTTACTGCTTCAAAAATCGACTAATAGTATAATTACACTACCAAAAATCACGTATCATGTTGAGAGACAAAAAAAAACAATATCAGTAGTAGTTGTGAATTAGTCTGAAAGCTACGTTATTTCTAAGCTGAATCATCGTTAATGAATTCAACCTGCAGTCAGCTAAACAACTTTCCGATATTACGAATGAATAGTGGGTATTAATCGATCCCATGTGCCTATATTAAGTGTTTCTATGGTTGTTAGAAAGAACATCCGCCTCGTGACTTCTCAAGAGTCTCGGCTTTCACCATGAGGCGTCATAATTCTTCTGAATGAAGATCTTTCAACTTCAAGGGCACAGTTTAGACAAGCGTAAGTAAGTGGGTATTAATGAATAACGTGAATGGCCCCTAAATAATGTTATTAATCAGTTGCAAAAGAATGCCACACAATTTTTACGACACTGATGTTGACCAAATTGCTGTGGTTTTTACAAAACAAATCAGAATAGGATGATTTCAGAAGCTTTAGGACCACATATAAACCTATAAATCACCTCGTTTTCTGTACATAATAACCTTCGAAGTAAAACTTCTTCCAAACTTTCCGCCATCAGTTTTCTACTCGAGGTTTTGAGAATCATTTTGTATTTCTTGTTTGATAACATCTATTCAAAACCAAGTATTGAATTATCCTTGAGGTCTGTTGTTATTAACAAATACCAACATTCACCAATTCCATCATTTTGACACAGCAAGATACACCATGGACAGACTAAATCGCTTTATAATTGTGTTCAAAAATAAATAATTCACCAACTTGTTCATAATTCACTAATCTCCCTAACTCTTATCGAATTTCTAATGAAAAGATAAATAAATGTGAACTACATATGTGAGAAAAACTAATAACATTATCGATCACATAGAACAACCACACACAGATATATAGATAAACACACAAATAGACTTGTATTAAAAAGGTCATTAAAACTGTTGTTCATGAGTAGGCATAATGTAAAATAAAGAAATATACGATTTAATGATTGATTGATTAGCTGAATGAATTTTAACTTCTAGGCAAAAATGACAAGATAAGGCATTAATAATGAGTTCATGTTGATTTGAGATATTTTCAAAATTGACCTAATAAAAATCGGCGATTTTTTTTGTTCTAAAGTATAGAGAAATGGCGATTATTCCTGTATTGGTAATGGTTGATCTTGAGTGGTAGAACTAAGACATGATATTAGTCCATTTAGTCGGTTAAATTGAACCACATTACAAGATGAAATCATCTTGAGTTGGATCTGGATAGTAATGGCAACCTAATGCTGGAGACCTTGTCATACCAGTGCATGAAGCCATTGACTACCGGACTGAGAAATCTAGATAGATGCAGATTACCTAATTGAGGTCCTCAGGATTATCATGACGATTGGTTGGAAGCATTAGATGAGAACCAACAGGATTGGTCATAATAACACAGGTGCACTCACTCCTTGCCTTCCCTGAGATCTCGAGCTTTAAAAAATAATCGTATACTTTTTACTCCATGGATTCATTCCATCTTCTGGAATCATTTTGTCTATGCCGAAACCTTCCTACTACCACAGATTCTGTAGTCACACCTGCTACTCAGATGTACATCTCGATAATTTCATCTATCTGTACTAATAAAATGTGACAGCCTGGATCGATGCACATATGTGCCAGGTTCTACGTTGCTTTATGAATTAATTGTTATAAACCTTATTTGGCATAATACAAAGTTGGTTATAGCAGTACATACGTATTCACTTTTTGTCTTCCTCAGAACCTTAAGTTGTGATATTGTTTCATAATCTTTGTTCTCCAATTTCATTCATTCTAAGTTGAATCACTTCTAGAAACTTAGCTATCGTTTTGACTCATTTAGACTCTATCCTGATAAATTCCTCCTAGTATTATTAAGTGCAGTAGTTTACCGGATACACGTGTTTTCCAATGTCTACTTTGTCTATGACTGACTGAGGTACTTCGATTTGAGAGGTCCCAGACCTCGAGTACTAGACTATATTATTAACTACAGTCAAATAATTACTACTTACAATTACCTAAAGACATTTAAAAGTCATTCTCAATAAAAGGTCTATCATGAAGCGTATTACTGAAATCTATAAAAAGGAACTGTATAATAACTAAAACCAAAAAATTGGGTAGTTAAAATATGTGACCTAAACCTAAAAAACGGAGAATGACTGAAGTTGAAACTAAGCTTGAATTACAAATAATTTCAAATCCTGACAAGCCCTGGTACAGCCGAGAGTGAGGAGAGTCAGCTCTCCCTTTCGAAATGCTTTCACATGGCCACGAGTATACAGCACCTACCAGGGAAGTCCTACTCACGGCCTTCTCGTAGTAGGGGTGTTTTCACGAAATTGAGAGGACGAAAAGCGAGTGTCCGGCACTTTAACCGGGTCGGTGGGTATGCAGGATCCATCTAGGAAAGTTGGAAAACCCTCATTCTAAACCAATGGTTCACATGGGCTACAGGATCCTGAGGGACCAAAAGGAGTATGAACCTGTTGTTGGTCACCGGTTACCATGGGACTGAATCTCCTAACGTTGCTCCACTGCCTTGTGGATTAGACCTGTAGGTCAAAGGCTTAGGGAGTAGCCTCTTGAGAAAACCACCTGCTTCCGTTTGGGCACTCGGATAGTATCACAGCCCTCACATAAATTAATGATAACTGCTACTGACCTCGCCGTTATCGTGTGGCGCATATGTATATGGTGCCTCCTTGTATCAATGTTTATGTGTTCAAACAAATAAAAATAAACGTTCAAGCTACGGAAATTTAAAAACATCCCCAAACCCCCATGGCAACAGAAATCACGTGGTCATTAGTGATTAACATCGAAAGGTGATTCCGGGAGCTCCAGTGAGAAGTCATGATCAGTGGAGTTCAAACTTGTCGAACATGAAGCAGTTACCCACCGAAGGCATTAGAAGATTGTTAGACATTATTGCACATTGATTTAAGTTAGAAACGTAAGCTGTCGGATGTTGGCTCAGTGATCTAAATGTTAAGTGTTCACTGCAAAACCTGAATGTTCTCGGTCCGAGCCCTAGCACGTTCTCATGTACGCATTACTGAGTTTCACACTAGGATGAAATAGCTGTTAGCCCTTCCCCATTTTCAATAGTTGTGAAACTAGGATTAGTTTGTGACGTAAACTAAGGGAATCTAAATGTGTGTTGATAAAATTTAGATGATATCGTAATTTCGTCATACGATTAGCTTAGCTCAAAGTTAATTTTTCCATTAGTTCTTGTCTATATCCCCCCAGCAAAAAAGAAACGAGATTCAAATCTTCTAACAAACAGCAAACAAATTTCGGGAATTTAACAAACAACAAGTCATTTACCTGTCATGATGACAACGAGATTTCATATGTTTGCTTAGATTACCGCGTGTTTTGAAAGAAATATCACAGTTATGACAAACAAACGGTCGAATATTAGAATGTGTATGCCAATGTTTTTTCAAATGGTGATAGGATTTAGTAGTATGCAATGAATTATCTTGACAACGATATCTCCCACGTATAGAAGTGTTAGACCGTTGTGAATTAAGTGAATTCGATAAATATTTTTTATGATTGTTGAGCTTTGTAAAATTTATTCGTCTTTTATGATGAATTGGTCGGTATTGACATTTGATCCTGTCGGGCTGATTGGCTGGTAAAATTGTAACAAGTTTGTTGTGTTGAACTTGTTGATGAGATTGTTTGCTATCAACTGAAATTTCAACACCGACACTTTTGCTCGGTGAAATAAAATTACCAGATAAGGATGAAGTGAAAGCAGAAGAAGAGGAAGAATGACTGTAATTAATGGCAGGAATAATAATATTGTTGGCAGATGTACTGGTGACAAGACATGTAGTTACAGTAGGATTTAATTTAGTGAAATTATTTGTTAAATCATTACTGGAAACTAGTAGTGGTAACATTTTTTGATCCGAAGCGTTTTGTCCCGCTCCAGTATGAAATTGGTCTTGTAATGATTTATTTTGTACAGTTGATAATGCATTGTTTGATTTGATTCTAGAAACTTCGGGTACAGGTCTTATTGGAACTGAAAATATATAATTATTAAAAGAAAAGTGTAACTAAAATGAATTAAAACAATCTTTAGCAGAAAACTTAAATACAAAAACAAAAGTTAGATAAAATATATACACACACATACAAAACTCATGAAGAAGTTTTTCAATATAGAAGGATTATAATAAATTCCAGTTAATCAGGTTCTTTTCTTAACCGTTTTAAAAAAATGAAAGTAACTACATTAAATTGGCAAGTTATGAAATTTAAGCAGAATGTTTTATCATTATTATTTTCATTTACTAAAAGAATGAAACAGTTTGATACAAGTTATCTGTCTTACTGACTTTATCACTAAGGAATCACATGTACGATAGTTTTATTATTTATTCAGAAATGAATATATTTATAAAATATTGTTAGATAGAATTTTCACAATGATCTCAACTCTGCATAGAATTACATATTTGTCAACTCATATGATCTATGAAATGCAGCAGAAATAATTGACGATAAATTACGGGGGTTTTTTGTTGTTGTTGAAAATTCATATAATTTCTAAAGTATAATATTGAAAAGTTTAATCTCAGTCGTAAGAGATTAAATATTATCAAATCAATTATCATCAGTAATTTCACTTTGAAGGGATTTGAACCCCAGTCATTTTTTTATTGAATTTACTGGTCAAAAAATGTCACAAAACACGATCGATAGGACTAAGTACACAATAATATTTATTAACTTTAGAGTGATCGACTAGCATTACATTTGTTTAATTCATTTAACGATAGACAAATCTATTTTCTTCAAATTGTCCTACTGTTATGTTTCATAACTATTTTTTAACCAATCAAAAGCAATTGACAACAAAGTCTCATGTTGAATATTTTTCTTAGTCAGTTAACTGTGTAACGTGTCAGCAATTCAAATTTCTATTCATTGGCATATTATAAATATATAGTTATTTTATGCTTAAACATATTTCAACAAACCTATATATGAATATAAAAATTCAAACCAAACAGAGTAATTATTCGGGTTGGCGATTTTCTTAGCAAGGTTGTTTTCTACGAGATGGGGTTGCTGACCCCAAGCCAAACACTCCTCTTTTACCCAGGCTTGAGATCGACAGTAACCTTAGAAGAGCTACAGACGGAGTACAAGTATTTATAAACAATCGTCTACATAAGATACTTAACGTCCGTTGGTCGGATACCATCAGCAACAACCAACTGTGGGAGAGAACAAACCAGCTTTCAGATGAAGAGGAAATCAAGAAAAGACGTTGGAAGTGGACAGGATATACAACGTGGAAATCATCGAACCGCATCACGAGACAAGCGCTTACTTGTAATCCTGAAGGGAAACGGAAGAGAGGAAGGTCAAAAAACACTGCGCAGAGAATCAGAAGCAGGCATGAAAAGGATGAATAGCAACTGGAAAGAACTACCCAGGATAGAATTCAATTCAGAATGCTGGTGAGCGGCCTATTCTCCTCCACGAGGGGTAACAGGCGTAAGTAAGTAAAGTAATTATGTAAAGTTCATGAACAAACTGTACTAAAAACGGAAACCTAGAGTAGTATGAAAACTAACGCTCAGAGAGTGATAAAATTAGAATAATACTAAGAGTTAGAAGCTACAAATGCATATATATATGACGTGTATAATTCATGTAATAAAAATAGATAAATTCTTGGAACCATTGAAGCGATACACATAATGACAATTCTTCAAAGTTTCCAAATGAACTTGTATTGCATCTTGTGAACAGTCAATTGCAAAGTTTAACCCTATATGATGGTTTGCGTATGCAAACTATAGTTTAAGTATGTACATTTAAAAAATGGTTAGGAAGGAAAAAAATGGCTGAACATTATAGCAGAGTACATGTGTTTGCTGTCTGATTCTTATTTACGTCAACGAAGAGATTTTTTCTCGAGAATTAAACTATCATCTCCTGGTTACTATAACAGTGAATTTTTCTTCCTACTGAATACATACTTCAAACAAACTGGCAATTATAATTTTTTAATTTATATAAGAAGCGTAATGTTGAATAATGTGACGCAATATGATAATTATTGTCACCATTGTGGTGTGCGGAAGAGTAGACTGATTTATGTATGTTCCACACCGGAATTTATCTTTATCTCTGATTGAATCATAGTGAAAATTAGAAACCAATTGAAATATAGGAACTATTGAATTTTCAAATACTAGAAGCTAACATTATATTGCCTGTGTCCTATATGCAGAAAAATAACCCCTTTTAGAAAATAAAATTAGTATCAGAAGGGGATTTGTGGAGACTGTAGTAATTTCAATTAACTCATGATCTCAACTATTGAAAATAAAATTAATTTAGACTTAATACAACTCGGTAATCAAGCAGAAATGAATGAACTGACTTTTTAGTTATATATCTTGATTCTGTGAAGACTAATGGTCACCAACCGGTTGCTTTTGCCGCTGCTGACCAAAGTATCTGAAGTAGAATTCGTATATCTAACCTACTAGTTGAAAGTTAAATTTTAAGTCACCGATTTCTACATCTAAAACAGTGATTAAGTAAAAACGATCCACAATTTCCATGAATTCTTCATTTTAATAAAAATCATAGGCTTATTAGTGACCGATTTAAGGAGGAAATTCCAGTAGCTCTAGTGATAAGTTGAGGTCGATGTAGTTCACCCATTTGAATTACATTTGAAAACGGTTACCCACTATGATATATTGATTTAGGTCAGAAATGTGAACCATCGGACAGCAACTCAATGGTTGATGGTCGCTACTAGATCTAGAGGACTTTGGTTCAATTTCTGGTGGGATGTGGATATGCACTGCTAAGGAGTCACATACTAAAACGAAACACCTGTCCAGTGCTTCTCGGTTTTCAACAGTTTAGCTAAAATCAGTTCGTGACGTAAACTACGAAAGTCAACGGTCTCCAAGAGTCCCTTACACCTAAAATGAATCTATTCGATTAGGCTAACGAATTTTCAGGTCAATTGAAGCTATTTACAAGTTATTTAAAGCAATTAGTCCCTTTGATAAATTCCGATAATGTAATAAAAAGACGAGGATTATAGTTATGATAATCTTCGTCTTCTTATTACATTATCGAAATATACAAGTTAGTTAACAATAACTGTAAAGACAAATAATAGACTAACAAATAGTGTTTCGAAATTTAGTCAATTAATTCCAGTAGGTTCGAATAAAAACGAAAATAAGCTTTCCGCTGGTAAACAGACGTAACAAAACACACAGTTTGGTTTCAATCCGAGCTCTAAAAATTTTATTACATTTATAATGTTAAACGAAATCGTGGCATACGCATTATTTCGGAATGAGTAAATGGTTGGTCAATTTCAAATAAAAAATTGACCAGATTTAGACACTCCAACAGATGATTTCCTACTTCAGAAAACTTATATATCAGGTAGAAAGAAGTCATAGAATTCTTACAATAATACATGTTTGAAAAAAGTATTATTGTAGTAAACACATGTGTAAGTAAAATATAATCTATATTTCGATGATGCAAACGTTATCTACAAGAGAGCAAATATATGCAACCGAGAACGAAATAGATTAGAACCCAAATATTTAACTGTTGGGTTACGTGCTTATACCTTACTTTGTTTATTATTATAGCTAGGTTAGCCAAGTAGTAGCATCACTAATATTTAGAAAACAGAGGAACAAACGAACCTGCAAGTAGCTTGTGAATTTCAGTGTAAAACTAGACTAAGAATGTATATAGAGTATAGCAATATGTATGAATGTTATAGCAAAAGAGACACTGAATTCATATTTTCATACTTAAGTCATTCATATTTAGAAATTTTCACTGTCTTAGAAAATCTAGTTGAGACGCTCATAGTTTCTAGCATGACGTAGACTAATAACTAGCTATCATGATGATTCTGTCATTTTAAGATAATTGATTTCATGAATGTTGGGAACAAAAAAACAAAAAAATACCATAAGAAATATATCTCTAATAATATAAGTAAAAGATGAATAAATCGGATATTGGTAAAAGACATTAGTGACTGTTTTCATAGCTCATATGATATTCTTTCAAAAGGTCTGATACGAATCAATAAGTTCAAATAAAAAGTTTCCAATAAAGTTATTCAATTCATTGATATTACTTAAGGATATGTACAGAGATCAAATTTTTGGAACTTTGAAAGCAAATATTACCTTTCGGTCAAAATGAAATTAATGTAAATGGTTGTATAATAATAGATTTATGAGTAGTTGTTGAACGTTAAGGTTTCAAATCAAATTCATGATTCTTTAATTGTTTTATTACAAAAGAACTTTAGAAACTAGTTATGTACTTAAATATTATTATTTTCGTAAAATTCCACAGAATGTCAAGATCAAAACTAAACTCAACTTTCAAACTGCTGGTAAAATTTGTACCTTAATCTTAAACTTTTGCCATGATCAAACTAAATTCTGTAGAAATTCTTTTCATTTAAAGTCACGTGTGTATGTGTGTTTACTATGAAATTAAGAGAAAATTCCAAAATTTAAGTAAGATGGCCTCATGAGTTTGCTTCAAGGTTACACCAATCACAAAAGTACGATTGACAGATATGACAATAATATTATATGATTAATATACGTAAGGCAAAATATTTTCTACATCAGTCAAGATAACTAATCCTTTACGTGGGACGTATGTATCAGTGAGAGACATGTGTGCATATCCTCAATATGGTTGCATGAAATATTTGTCCGTGATGATCTCCCCAAATGACTCGTTGAAATTTCGTTACGCTATGAAAATACCATATATATATGTTCAGTAACTGGTGACTTTGGGTGATATAGCTCAGAATATGTCACGATGGCACAGATGCATCCACTGTTTATCTTCTTCTCAATCTGGAATTCCTTTACATACACCTTCCCATTTTGCATTTCCGAAACCCTATTCTCCGCGATTATTCTTTCGCATTATCATTGAAACATTATTCCGATATCTTTTACCATACATTTTTTCATTTTATCTCATTGTGTTAATATGATGAGATGGTGAAGATTTGTAGCTCAGGTGGATGATTTTGATGAAGTTTTGTTCTCCGAGATGTATGGTTTGGTCGTGGAGCTTTCATCGTTATTATGAACGACATCATCGACACAAACTTCAGGTAGAAGTGAAGTATTCGAATTTCTCCATATATGGTTCACAGCTTGTCCTGTAGACAGAAGTAAACAATGACGGGTTAAAGGTAAACAATAACCAATCAACATCGAGGTCTGTGTTGATGATGTCGTTCAGAATAACGATGAAAGCTCCAGGACCAAACCACCGATCTCAGAGAACGAAACTCCATAAAAATGATATGAGAACTTGACCCGACGCATATCCGTACTAAGCTCTACGTTGATGACTGACAGAATGAGTGAGGGAGGGGACTTTAGATGGAATGATAAGATCAATAAATTTTAGCAAGCTCTTTTTAAAAAAAGGAATATACTCACTTGGTTTAGTCGTGTTAAACCCACCGCTGCTCCATACGCATTTAGCACTATCATATTTTTTAGAACAACTTGGACTATTTGGAATGGAAATCACTGTTGGTGGTAGCAATAATTTATCTTTTCCTGAATTTACTGATGTATCCTGATGAATGAATAAAAGAAAAGGTGTATAGAGATTAGCATTTCGAAAATTACGACAATAACGTTTTCGAATATGTTGCTATATATAGACTGTGTCAAGCTAATCGATCAACTATTCAACTCCTGAAAAACACGTTGGAGGAATTTTGAAACTATGAAAAATCAAAGAGCATTGGATAGTTGTTTCGTCCGAATTTTAAACCATTCAGTTGTGATTACCTACCCACTTACTCACCTACTACTCGCTCTGACTAATTATGTTCAAAACGATCAGATCTCACGTTCATGTTCTTCTGTTTATGAGTTTGTTGTATACGCCCCCCCTGCTTCAATATTAAATTTAATCAGAAATAGAAATAAACTTACTGATTGATGTGATAATATTAAATTAGAGTCGGATCCATTAGTCTCCTTCACATCCTCATATGTATTATTATTAACAGGCTTTGATTGATGATCGTCTGATAATTGAGAAACTGTAGTGTTTATATCAGCACCAAATACACTAGTTGATGTAGGAGGTTGAAGAATGATTGTTTTAACTGGTGGATGATTTGTTGAAAATTCAGGTTGAGCTGTAGGTATAGGTGTTACAAGTGAACTTGTCATAAATGTAGATGGTCGTGTTTCAGCCAAATTCGTACTTTGAATAGGATTTATTGTAGATGGATATGGTTCTGGTGCAGTTATCATTGGTATATAAGAACCAATAAATCTAGGCAAAACCATTAACTGAGGTAATATGAAAAAACTTGGAGATGGTTGAGATCCATTTAGTGTCGATGGTGTAGGTGTAATAGGTCTAGGTGAAGGAAAAACCATTGTAAATCCATTCATTGGATTGGATTGATGTGAAATAGGATCTATGTTTGATACATAAGAAGTTAACGGTGTATTTTGTGATGAAATAAAATTCGGATTACCATAAACAACATTAGTAAATTGTATAGGAGTAGGAAGTAATCCGATTCCTGAAGTAGAAGGGAAACTAGGTAGTTGCGTATCAATTTGCTCCGTTGAAATAGACGAGTAACTCGATGATATATTGATAACTTGTTTGGTAGATTGTGAAACAGTTAATTGTTCACAGTTGATCGAAGATGAAGTCTTCGTTTGATTAATATTGTCCTGAAGTTCTGTGAATAAGCGGAAAACAAGTTCTATTGTATATGTGTACATGAAGAGTACAGAAAAGTATAAATGAAGTATAAAGATTGGTGATCCCTTCGTATCTAGTAGCCTGGATTAAGACCCAGATATTCGCTTTACATCCTTTCTTTTTCCTAAACTATGCTCTCACCTAGAGGAGAGTTGAGTAGGACTTCCCAAGCATAGGCTATAAACTTGTGACTAAAGGTTGGATCGAGGTAATCCATCCACATATACCAACATAAATTAACCAACTTCAGTCCTGAATATTAACAACGGGATAAACAATTACCAAAAATAAGTATATTTTATTCGAGAAGTCAGCAAAACAAATAAAGTATTTAAAAAACGATTAAATTTCAACTCACTTGGAGTCGAGTTCGTATTGTCTGTAAATGAACGAGACGAGTTTGACCGAGTATAATTTGTTGAAAGCCTTTTTTTAGGAGGTGGACGAATTTTTCTCTGTACCACAATATTATTAGTATTATTATTACTGTTGTTATTAATACTACTATTCTGTGAAGTAGAGATTGGATTCCAAACATCTGTAGTACAATGAGTTGATAACTTTGAAGGTTGGATAGCAATTAAATGATCTGTATGGCGACTAAGAGGTACATTATTGTTGTTGGTGGTAATGGTTGTAGTGGTTATGTTATCACCTGAGACACATTTATTCAAATCATTCGAAATCTTATCTTCCACTACGGTATTTGAGAATTCATTTAAGTTACTGATTGGTCCAACTGAATGTTCAGTGGATGATACACTAGACACTGACTTATCACTTGTTTCATTCTCTTGTTTAGACATCCAACGAGAATGGTGTTCAGCGATTTCATCACCTGAAGAGTAAATGAAAATAACTAGTTGTGTGATTAATTTTAGATTACTGTGATATCTTTGTTACAAATATGTGGGAAAATAGATTTAAGAATAGTTCAGAAAAAAGATTTACAGCAGAAATAATTCCCTTGACAGTAAAATGCCACCTCATAAGTATACAATAGAAAAGAGATTCCCAATTCGGGTCAGATGTCTTGAATCGCTTTCATTCACCAGTCTTTTTGGAAAAAAATTCATAAAATAGTTATAAGTGTAAACTAGACATCATGAAAAAAACTTTCAAGGCTTTCAAATAAAGTGTTTAGGCTGACTGATTACACAAGAATACAGTTTATATTCATTCAGTTCATTTCGCTCAATATCCATTATGAAATTGGTAACCTAAAGTAAAACACATCAACAGTAGAAAAATGATATACAAATCTCAATTCTTAATAAGATCAGCTACAACCTTAAATAGATCATAGCAAACCCACTAACCACCAAGACAAATTATGCTGGTTTACACCTCATAGCTGAAGTGACTTAAACATACAACTTTCATGATCAAATAACTTTCAAAGTTTAAAAAACTACAAACGTAAAGAAGTGAAGACAAACATTTAAGTAGGATTACATGAATCCATTAGATTTAGTGAGGTCCTCATCAGATGCTTACAAACCTATGGCATTTTAAAATTAAAATTATCTCGTAGAAGTTAATGGATAGGACATACATTACGCAAATCATCAAACTGCATCACGAGGCAAGCCCTAACTTGGAATCCTGAAGGGAAGCGAAAAAGAGGAAGGCCAAAGAACACATTGCGTCGGATAATAGAAACAGATATGAAAACGATGAATTACGACTAGACGGAGCTAGAAAGGATTGCCCAGGACAGGGTTGGATGGAGAATGCTGGTGAGCGGCCTATGCTCCTTCACGAGGAGTAATAGGCGTAAGTAAGTAAGCATAGAAGTTAACATTCTAATACAAGTGAATGTGACTAGAAGTGAATATGTAACATATATGATAAAGCGAAGATTCCAATAAGATTAAAAAGACTGAAAAAATTGTCCCAGATGTATACAGTGTGAGAGAGGAAACTCTAGAACATCAAACTAGTTACTTAAGTTCATAGAGCTAAAAATTTCTGTTGATTACGTGATGAACCGACTGAGCACAGGTTAATGGTGACAAGAGATAAACTGAATTAAAATTAGTTAAGTAGAAATAAATTTGAAAGAACTGAAAATGATGTAATTGAAATATCCTGAACCCAAACTGATTGCATTATACAAAATAACATGTTTTTTAACGAAATTAACAATCGATAGGTATCTCCTTCATGTTATCGACGACTGTGTGTATAGATTTAAATGCATCTGTTAAAGCAGTTACATTGGTGAGACAGGAGAAAGGATCTATGATCGATTGAAAGAACATATTCCAAAATGTCCGAGGTCGGACTGGTCAAAGACTTTCAGTAGTACTATTTAAAGACATCTACTTGAGACAGGATGTCAAAATGATAAAATGAAATCCTTCAAAGTGACTAATAAATAATTAAACTCTGATTTTCTGAAATTTGCTAAAGCCATAGCTTTCGTAAGATTGAAACAAAACTCCTGTTTTTTTAAAAAAGTGACATATCTTTATTAACAGTAATGAAATTATACTCACTCGAGTATCTGTACAGTATTAGAGTTTCCTTTTACCAAACAACAAACAGGTAGCCCATTCTGAACTACCATACACGAATGTTTTACCTAACAAGTTACCATTTCAGAATGCTAAAAAAAACGAACGTATACCCTTGCGATTCAATAGATGAAATCCAAGCAATCAGGATCAATTCTTTAAAGATATTGTCAGTTCAATAAAATTTAAGCAAATTAATCCTTTCTTATCTGATACTTGAATTTGTAACTAACATTTAAGTAAAAATAAGAAAAACAAATTTTCACTTTCATCAGAAGATCTGACGAAACATATTATAACATTCTGTCGTTTGTTTCCGGAGTCGTTGTGTTACGCACTGGATTAAATCACAAATATCCGAACCGAGTCAGTTTGGTTTAAAAATTAGATGAAAGAGAATACAGATATATGATTGGTCAATATTTCAGCTAATTTTCAAGAATCTGATTGGTCGGTGAACGAACAAAAGAGCGTGGGGAGTGACATAGATGAGGTATGTATAAGCAAGACAATAAGTCGGCGTAGCTGGGTTAGAACTAACTATCGATCGTGCCTAGAACATTGATAAACTATATTCAGGCAGATAATGGTGAATAATGAAAAATTATAACTAACAATAATTTGCAATACACAAATTAAAATCCTTTTACAATTACTGAGAGGGATACAACGTACAAGTACTAATCGAAACGAATCCATTTATCAGAACTACTCCACTATGATTATCCTTTCACGAAAATCAAATCAAATCAAATCTATTTTGCTCTATTGAGTTGCATGCTCAAAGTAAACAATAGTGAAATTTTGATTTCATCCGTAAAATAAACTGATCAACAGCCAGTTGAAATAAAATCTTACAAATAATCTGTCAATGCATTCTATGCAAAGTAACATCGATAAAAGTAATAAGTTTCGATTATATAATTAAGAATTCGAAAATAAGTTTCAAACTACTCTCACTATAAGATGAGATGTCAAGTTGGATGACATTATACAGATGTTTCGCTGTATATTAGAAATGTTGAAAAACATATTGGGAGCATGCTAACGAAAACAGAGATTTGATATCTTTTAATGTTCAATTATACCGACCCATGATAAGGAGTTTTTCTAATTACGAGTTGATGTAAGAAAACTAGTGAAGCAGTAATTCTTCGCGGATGATGACCGGCAGTAATGATCGGTAAAGGTTTAAAAATAATAAATGACTTTTCTAGTATGGCTAATATATAACGATAAAACTTTTTAATTGGTACTAAGTGTGAACAATCAGTCTTTAAGCCTCCACAAAAGTGAAAAGACATAGGAAAATAATATAAATAAACAAACATGCAAGTTAGTACAAAAATGTTGGCAAACTTCATAGCAGTCATCGTAACTGAAAAATTATTCGTAAGTAAACTCAAACACAAATTTCAGTTTATGCACTTGAATTAGTTTTGAAGTTTACACAAGGTCGAAAACTTTAATACTTGTTCATGGTAAGTTGATAAGCATTTAATATTAGTTAGTGAAGCAACTTACATCGATCATAGAAAGTGAGAGTTTTCCAAATGCAACTTCAAGCATTTCCATTCATAGATATCGAAAGAATGCAAAAAAGTCGATAGTTCAACAGCGCAACATATTTTCAATTCTGTTCACACCGGCCCATCATAAATATCTTTCAAAACCATCTACAGGGTCAACTGATTGCGGTGGGAAGGGTATAAATCAATAACTTGTGCACTGTGGAGGCGCTAGTAACTCAACTCAAAGCTGGACTCTGTATGTAAAAGTAGCATGTGCAATCTCTCTCTCTCTGCATACTAGTTGTTAAAACCTAATTTTTGATTAATAATTATTAACTCCTGCACGTCTTTTGCTTCCTTGTCTTTTTAATATTAATTAAAGGGACAATTACCGTTCATACATTTCTTCTCAACTTATTATTTTTGTTTGTCCCCTAAAGTTACCCTATCATCCTGTGATTCCTGAAATTTCCATGCCCCCAAAACCATCAGCAACAATTCACATTCCAGGTAAAAAGTAAATGGAAGCAAGTAGGATACATATTACGGAAATCATAAAACTGCGTCGCAGAACAAGCTATAACTCGGGATCATCAAGGTAAAGAAAAAGGCCAAAGAACACAATACACTGGTAATTGGAAGCAGAAATCAGAGGGATGGATAGCAATTGCAAACAAATAGAAAGGCGAGGACAAGAAAGAGTTGGCTTGAGAATGCTGATCAGTGGCCTGTGCTACACGAGAGGCAACAGGCATAGGTAAGTAAGTAACTGATAACCATCAGTTAGTATATTTAAAATCAACATTGAACACATATTACTCTTCAAACAATCTAAGTAATCTCTTACTAAATTCGTCTTACAATACAGTAAAAAAACTGAGTAAAAAGCGGAACAAACCTTGAGTTTTCAACTCCGTTATAGTGTTGTTAATATCAGTATTATATGGCGTATCTCTCTTTTCACATGAATTATTCACTTTTGGTGCATTATCTAATTCCATCATAATTTGTCCCATATTCAAAACCATATCATCAGTACTTCCACGAGCTAATGATAGAATGGTTCGTGCAGCCTGTAATTCATCTTGACTACGATCATGATATTCTAATGAATTAGATGTCATATTTATATCATGTGTGTTAAAAATATAATCTTTTTGATAAACAGTTGTTAAATTTGTGTAAGCTTCTTGATTCCCTTTACCGGAATTCACTGAAGATAATGAGGAGGATGGCACTAGAAAGAATGACAATAAAATGTAAATAAATGCTTGTCCATTATTTTGGTTTTACTAAACACTTAAAAAATCAATCCTTAGTACAATAATATAGAGACTATAAATGAGTGACTGACAGTGTTATATTAGTAATTTGATATCATTCGAGTAATTTTAATTCTATGTAACTTGGTAACTTTTGTAAACTAGTAAATAGATTACAGAAACAATTGTTCCGGCTGAACAACATTGAGACATAATGAATGGCGACGGCTGTTTGATGATTGAAGAACTCAACATTCAACCAGGTGGTTTCAATCCCGCTCTGTTTACTTCGATTTGAACAACTAGATAATGTATCACTGGTCATCACAAACAAAACGATGAAATTCAAAGCTGATAAGATAAGCTAACATGTTACTTATTTATTATTATTTATTCATTTATTTGAACACATAAATATTGGTACAAGAGGGCACCAAATATATATATGCGCCACACAAACAATGAGAATGGGAAGAGAAGAAAAAGGTAAGGAGCTTAATTTCTTATTAAGCTAACATTTTGTGACAAGATTTTTTAAAACGATACTTACCTTTTATTAAAACATTCAGAAAAATACTCAAATGAGTCACTTTCATACAACCAGAAACATTCTGATGGCTTAAATGCAATCTAATATCTATTACCATATTGCCCAATTTCTTTTTATTTTCAAGTATAAAGATTACAAAATTCATTGTCAGTCTAATCAAACTTATCACATTTTTTGCACACATTACAATGACTAATATTGGATGGTCGTATGTGTAAGCAAGTTCACACAAACACTCATATGAAAGCCCAATACAAGTGAAAGTATTCCACTTTTAATAAACAAAACACACAACGTTATTTGCTTGATTTACATACATAGAATAACATGAAGTCAAGCTGTACATTAAAGTGAATGAAACAAAGAAAACCGGGTTGTAGAGCCTTTAGAGTCAACAGTCCAGAATATACCTTAGCGAAATTTCAGAAATAACATTTCATTGTCTTGTTTTTATTATCTTCAACTATTTTTCAGAAGTCAACATGCACAAAAAAATGACAAAAACACTCACAATAGGAAGGTAATCATAAAATGATGCAGTTTCAAATTCAATACAAAATCTTTCTGAGACTTACATAGCCTAATTAAAAATACCATAACTTTTGACAGATTTTATTCCAGTGGATATATTCATCATATATTTAAAAAATAGTAAACCCTTATATAGCAAAACTTGTAAATTTATCTTACCCCTATAGAAATTGGTATGTACTGAATGCAACTCTATTCAGTTGAGAATACATTTCAACTATTACACAAATGTAACCAAATTTCAATTTAATTATGGAAAACATGATAAAATGTGTAATTCATTATGTAATATCTGATATGTATCCATCAACATTCTAATTCTTTTTTTCGACACTAAAATGTTCATGTTAACTTCATTGTGTGATGCCATTTAAATAATCAACATATACTAATAAGACAATTGCGAATAAAAATTACAAGTTACAATAAAATGAACGCCATAGTGTATTTGAGTAGCTTTTGCTACCTTTAAAAAAATATACCCAATACAAAAAAAGCTATAGAGAATAGTATAAATAAATCACTTCCAGTTAAATTATTCGTTACAACAAAACAAAGATCAATGTCAGGAGAAAAGTTTCTGCAAATTAATGAGTGCTGAACACATAGTTAATCATCAGTTTCTAAATTCAGCAAAAGATCCATTGAAATAAACTTTCACAGAAACACTCGAATAAACAAAAAAACAGCTACTGAGTTTTAAATAGAAACAATCTTGAAATAATTATGCCAGAGCGTAGTATATTGAATTGTCACAAAGGGGATATATATATATACATCCGTTGGCCGGATACCATCAGCAACAAACTATCGTGAAAGAGAACAATTCACATTCCAGGTAAAAAGTAAATGGAAGCAAGTAGGATACATATTACGGAAATCATAAAACTGCGTCACAAAACAAGCTATAACTCGGGATCATCAAGGTAAAGAGAAAGGCCAAAGAACACAATACACTGGTAATTGGAAGCAGAAATCAGAGGGTTGGATAGAATATTTATCTGTAAGAAAATATAAAAGAGGGTGAAACTTCCCTCCTTCACCCATATACACTTAAGGAGAATATTATACTTTGAGTCTGACTATTTATGAGATCAATTTTTCACCAAACAGTAGACTTACAGCTCTGTCACTTTGGTACATATTTTTCAACCGGTATAGCACAGTTTTGAACATTGTTGTTGCTGGGGACGTTAGATCCCCAGAAATCACTTGGGAAAGGACCTAATTTTGTAATTTATTTAGAAATTTTGAATTTCTTTGTCTTCGCGCCAAAGGCACTCTTGTCACCTTGATGTCGTATTTCCCACTGGGAAATATCTTAAGTGCTGTTGGTCCGTTGCGTCTCTTAGTATGCTATTTGGTAACTCTCCCCAAGGACGGTTTTGTACTGTATATATACGTTTTGAATTGTGTTTGTTGTTATCGCTCGTTTTGTCTGTTTGGAGAATATACTTCCCCATTCCAAGCTTGGACTTCTCCCTCTAGTTAGCGGGGCTGGGACGCATCAATAGCTAGCTTACTGGTCTTTGGTCACCGAGTCTTGTTTCTCGTTCGCAGATTAAGTGAAGTCGTGATGGCTTCAACCCTAGTAGTTGTTCTGCTTAACGAGGTTTGAAATACCCAGTAGTGCACAGACTAGTCTGCTCCACATAAATTTTGTTCATGCACTAATAAAGTTATCATTTTTGTAATGCGTGTATATTCGATGTTGATGGTTAACACTGTCATTTAAAGACAGTTATAATGTGAATTCAGTAATTACTAAAATCCTTTTTAAACTTCATTCATTTTGTCCCTGGATTATAGCAAACATGTGTCAAAGTGAGTCAACCACTGAGTTATCATAAATAGTTTATCAACAAACATGAACTCCGATACGCTAAACAAAGAATAATAATAAAAATTGATGATATGAAAAAAAGAGAAGTATTCTAAGAAATTCGGTTTCATTAGTAAACTAGGTTACATACTAAATTTAACAGTTTGACTGATAACAAATATACTTACTTAATATAGAGTCTGTAGACAGATAAGATGATGATGAAGTGAGTGGTAACGATGAGGAAGTGTTTAATTCTGTTAAATATCCTTTTGTATTACAATTATTCATCCCATCAAATACTGTGCTATCATCACCAATCAGTGAATTGGTATCCAATGCTGAAATACACTGTTTCACAGCCAATTTATTTGCACAAACCAAAAATTCAATAGTTTGATTGGGCGAAAGATGGAATTTTAGAATTCCCGTAATAGATGGTTTACGAGGTGAGAAATTAGCATCATTTGCTTCGTTTGACTCGTCATTCAAATATGTGATGAAATTGTCTGGTTTTAGAGGCTAATATGTAAAGTTGACAGAACAAATGAGGGAGCAAAAAAACAAAGAAATTTAATTCAGCGACAACATTTTTTTAAAAGTCTGCAATAAATTAGTTAGCCTCGGACCTTCTGAGGTTAGTTACAAAGCTAATTTAATTTTTTTTGAGGGATATCGATTAGTCGAGTAAAAATATGAATCCCACTGAATGTGGATTACTGTTCACATCAACAGATAGTATTGAGGTAAAAAAATACAACGGGGCTTTACTATTTATTATCATCATCAGTGAGTTATGCAATCAGTTTACCTTACTTTAAGATGACACAAAATCTATGTCCGAAAAAAATTACTTGTTTTGAAGTAATGGAAGGAGTAGAAGTTAAGTTTAAGTGATTACTGTATAATGAAGGTTAATAGTAGAACTCTGAACAAAAAGGTATCCGTTAGTTATTATATCTGTATTTCTAAACATAATGAATTCTGCTGATCCAAGTTAAGGTTGAAGAGACTATTAAAAACCCTACTGTGATTGGAATAACCAGTTATTAACTTTTATACAGGACATTCAGTAAAAATGTGAAAATGATGAACCTAGATTTGATTATTAAATTACACTGAAGTTATATCTGAAATACTAAACTATGAAATCCTTCAGTAAACAGGACACGTGAACTTTTGCGATGTGAATTTCTCGAATTAATCGACATACACAATACATAAACTCAAGAGAAGTACAAAATAAAACTGGACAGAATAAAAAGTAAATACTCTTGTACAATAAAAACAAATAAGTCGAAGCACATTCCCTCCCTGGTGAGTGTCAAACAGTACGAAATCTAGGTCCTGAGTTTCTTGTCGACTACTTTTAACCAACTAACATTGGTTACGATTATCGCGTGGAATTTTAACAGATAATCTGAACTTCACTATATGAGGTTCAGACCAATGACCAGATTTCATGAACTGATGCCATGTCTTGGTTTGGCGCCCTCTAGTTTTTTTCCCAAGAGACTCCTGCACTAGGACTGAAATAATAGTTCAGTTACTTTTCTTTTGCAGAAGAAATTCAGAGATAAATCATCAGCCATTCAAATAAAAATAAATACTCACATAAAACATTTGTAATTTGTCAAAAACTAATTTGGTTTTTCTGTTGATTAAAGATAGGTTTCAATTAGTTAATATTCTAAAATAATTTTTCAGAAATGTTTTCAGCCATACGATCTATTCGAATATGACTCATTTAATTTTGACCTCACTTTGACCTTTCACAATAAGTATACAATTTAGTAAACTCATATGTTTCTGTATTCGCAACAAATAAGGGTAAATTGATTTTTGTCAAGGAAATTAAAAAAAGTTTAATTATCAGCTGGTTACATGTTTTCCAAATTGTTCTACGTTAGACTACCACATAGAGTTTGGTGTATATGGTACTACAGAACCTGAAAGTGAGAGAACATTGGGCTTTTTAATTTGCACTCCGATTTCTAATGAGTTGTGATATGATATCAAAATATCTAATCAATTCAAGACTAACTTCAATCAGCCAAATTGCATTGACATTTTATCTCGATCCTAGTACAGAATAAACTAATTCTCTACCATAGTTTATATTCCATTTTGTTTATTTGAATCTCAACAAACTAGCATCCCTAAACTTTATACAGCAAAGTGATTAAATATATATTGTGGTTACTGAGTTCTAGAGTCAGTTTGACGATGTAATGTAAATTATGAAATAATTTTAAGTAAATGAACATACACGTTACATAACAATACGACTACCTCTCTTATATGTAAATAGAAAAGTTAACTACAGTTACTAACGCACTCTTAAATATTCTAAACAATTAGATAGTAATATTCATACGGAAATACATAGTACCTTAATTCATTTTCAATTGACTATAAATAACTATTTCAAGATTACAAATGAATGTTAAACAAACAAAAAGTGTTAAAAAGCTTCTGTATTGTTATTTAATTTTTTTATTTGAACACATAAATATTGGTGCAAGAGGGCACCTAATATATATGCGCCACACAAAACAATGAGAATTCGAAGAGAAAAAAAGAACAATAACGAAGAGATTGGAGTAAGGTAGTGTAATAATAATAATAGTAGTAATAATAGGGGAACGGAAAGGTACAATCAGAACAAATCTTTCAGCTAAGGAAGATACGACCACTTTTTAGGAAGAAAGTAAGAGAAGGTTACAGCAGGATCGCCACTGGCTTCTATTCTAAGCCATATCTGATAACGTCTCTAGTCACTGTGTTGCACCATCTCTCAGACCCCAGCTAGAGAGTCCTGAAGGATCAACAGAAGCCAGCCCTTTGTAGCTTTCATTCATGCCACGACACCATATCATACACTGACCACCTCTCCGCTTTTTCCAACCATTCTCTGAGACGACATTCGGAGAACATGTCCAAGCCACCGAAGTCGGTGTTTCAAGATGGTAACACCAATTGAATTATCATCTCTGTGCCCGAACACATGGTGCCGAGCCTCTGCATTACTGACATGGTGTTGCCACTGAATGTCAGCAATCCTTCGGAGACAGCGATGATCGAACACAGAGAGTCGTCTAACGTCCTCAACTCGGAGAGACCAGATTTCACAAGCATAGAGCAGAGCTGCTCACACCGACGCGTTGTAGATCCGGCTGTTTAACAGCCAAACTGATATCACGAAGGCGCCAAAGGTGGCCCAGATTGTCATAAGCCGCTCTGGCTTTTACTATACGTGCATTGATCTCATCACTCACGCCACTACCAGCACTTATGCAGCTACCTAGATACAAGAACTTCTCGACTACGTCTATCTGCTCACCATCCAGGGTGAGTACAGGATTAGAATCCTGCCAGTCTTGTAGAAGTACTTTGCACTTCGAAGGTGCAAAGCACATACCGTACCTACGGACACTGATTGCCAACTGATTAAGTGCGAATTGCATGGCTTGGGCATTATCTCACAGTTGCATAATATGATCCGCATACTCAAGGTCGAGAAGTCTTTCTCCAGGTAACAGATCCACACCACTATTACTTACATCCATCAGAGCTGTTTCCAGCATGTCATCAATGGCAAAGTTGAAGAGGAATGATGAGATTAGGCAACCGTGCCTAACCCCACTGCTTGAATGGAACAATGGAGAAAGGTGGTTACATGCCTTCACTCTGCCTGAGGTGTTTGTATATAGGGATGTTAATAAACTCAGACACACCCTTCTTCAATAGACAATCCCAGAGAACAGTCCTGTCCAACGAATCGAAGACAGCCCTGATGTCAAGAAACACTACGATTGTTGGCCTTTGATAAGTATGACGGTGTTCTAAGATTTGGCGGAGGGTGAAGATATGATCAATACATCCTCGACCAGAACGAAACCCAGCCTGCTCCTCGCGAGTCAATCTTTCTCGGGTTTTGAACAACCTACGAAGTATGACGGAAGCCAATAGCTTGGACGCAATCGGAAGTAGACTTATCCCCCGATAGTTGTTACAGGAACGACGTGAACCCTTTTTAAAGATAGGGAAAACTATCGACTCATTCCATGACGTTGGTACACTCTCTAGTTCTCAGACCCTTGTAAACAACACAGTCAGTTCCTTAGCCAGAAAGTCACCACCATCTTTAAAAAGAGCCGGAGGTAAGTCATCTGGGCCAGGTGATTTGTAACGCTTCAAGAGTTGGAGTTCCTTACGGACTTCCGCCTCATTTGGTGGATCAGTCGTCACCGGCCATGGAGGGCAGGACAGTTCGATCGATATTGCCGGAGCAGCAGGCTAGTTGAACTGACTGTACCCGCCATTTTCATGGCATCATGCAATTGCAACCAATGCTCATCTATACTTTTCGGTGGAATGGTAGCTAGCCTAGAAGCTAGCTCGATTCGATACTTACTAGCAACAGAAGTTGCAACCAACTTGCTGACATCAATCCGTTGGTGGCGGTCACTTCGTTGGCCACTGAAAAGTAAGGCGAGATTGGCGCAGACCAAGGCATGATCAGAGTCCAGATAGGTACTCCAAAAGGAGCGGCAGTCTTGTACACAACTACGCCAGTGGTAGTTGATCGCGATGTGATCAATTCGAGTCCAGGCTTGAGATGCAGAGGGAGGACGCCAGGTGGCACATCGCCGATGACTTTGCCGGAAGTTAGTGCTAGCCAGAAACAGGTTGTGGTCTGTGCAAAGTTGCAGTAGACGGTCCCCGTTATCTGACCTGCGACTAACGAGTCCCCATCGGCCACCTAAACGACTCTCTTCTGTGCCTAGACACCCCACCTGAGCATTCAAGTCTCCGGCCAGTACTACAATATCTGTCGAACGCACTTTCTGGAGAAGAACAGTTAACTGGTGGTAGAATTCTTCCTTGATTCCATCCGGGCTGCAATCTGTCGGGGCATAGGCGGACATGACGAAGAGATATAGTTTCTCACGCCGATTTCCTCTCAATTTGATGGAACTCTCTAATCTAACAGCATATAACCGACTGTTAATGGGGATCCAATCGATTAGTGCTGCCTCAGCTCTAGCGCTTAGTGCGACACCAACGCCTGCAAGACCAGACGAAGATGCCACAGGGTCTCCGGATAGACGCACGTAAAACAAGCATTTTGAATCGACAGATGGAAAGCGAATTTGTAGTACTTCACCAGAGTCTTAAATACGGGTCTCGGATAGACAGCAAACATCGATATTAAGACTTTCCAAAGACATAGTCAGCCCTATCTGTTGTCCAACCTGCATAAGTGTGTGAAGGTTGAAGGAAGGCAGTTTGAATGGTGCACGTGGTTTCAGAAAAACAGCTTCAGTATTCGTGTTTGGTGGTGGCATACAATTTTCAACCAGGGAGTGACTCGAGAACGTTTAGATATAACCGATTTTTCACCATAGGCGAGCTGCTGTATAAGTCGAAAAACAAGGATACATAGATTGGGAATAAAAGAGAGTGAATAAATGACGTAAATAATAATAATAATAATAATAATAATAATAATAACAATG